AGAGAAGGGCGCAAATGTGTGGCGCAAGCAGCTAGTGCATTCTAAAGCAAATATCATCCGACAGGTAAACCTGGTTGAACTACGATGGGCACATAGCTGTTTTATGGTTTCTCACTGCGTAACCAAATAATAACTTCAGTAAATTTGTGTTGCAGTATAGTGAGACTAGGCCTACATATTCTGTTGTCATAGTCTAACTTCATAAATAGAAGCTAAAAGGTGTGGAAAAATTGCTCCAGATTTCTAGTTTGGTACCTGTTCTGCTTTGTTCAGCGTTTTACAATCTGTTGAGGGCATCAGCTGTTCTTCTCTGAGAGATTTCAGATTTTCTTCAATTCGCTCGCTTGTCTCCTTAAAAAATTTATCACTTAATAAGCTGAAGGGCTTAGTATGATAGCCAGTGCTGCCTTCTTTTCGGGCTTGATTCTCCCAGTAAGTTAACCACTTCCTCTGCGATTCGTTTATTTTGGAATTTCTGAATTTTCAGTTTGTTCACAAGTAGGAATTAATGAAGTGCAAATTTTCCTGTGCGAGAATTACAGCTTGTATTGAAAGAATTTCTGCACTGGAGTGCGATTAGTTCGAAAATTAGGCCAATTAATAGCCAATCACTGGCCAATGCCAGAAGTATATTTCCAGCTATTGCGAACTCGAAATACACTTCTTACACTGGCCAATAACTGGCTATTAATTGGTCTAATTTTGACTCCATCCGTGCAGTTTCCTGTTAAATTCTGTGCTCAATTTAACTGGCACAATTTAACAATTCTCAGCTAAATTTACATTCTTCAGGGGAAATTTTTTTAACACCCTTTCAGATTTTTGTTAAATTTGACCCATCCAACCTTGTGCAGAATCGCACTGCCAATCAAGCTATCCTTACTGTAGATGCAAAAGCGGCTCGCGATGCTTGATGGCTCACATTACGTACCTTACAAAAAGTCAGAATCACGATTAGCACAGCATAAAATTTTCGAGTTTCATGACGGAACAACTTAGGCCCAACGGGGTATTTTTTCAAAAAAATGCCCCTCCATAATTCTGTTATGTAACAACAATTATTCTGGAACAAGGCCACCAATAACATTTTTTTTCCACAACTGCCGTAAGAGTAAACTAAAGTTGGATCTTAGGAATAGTGAAGTTGACCCGGATGTTGCCACTGAGTATGTGCAGGTCGTTGATCAGCTTCTGATGCTCATACTCGAGCTCGTCCAGCGTAACCAGCTGATGCCCGTTGTGCCTGTTGACACAACACTCCAGACACGCCAAGCGCTGAAAGTTTCTCCTTCGTAGAAGACGGAATCTCAAATTAGCCGATTATAATTGAATTTAAAAGGAATCCAACTCCATTGACAAATTTTGCCGGTTTTATTTTACAGCATAGTGAAAAATGAGTAACGTGGCAACGGTTTGTTTCACGACTGTACTCTGAACGGTGGTCAGCTGCCGTTCGGATGCACGCAAAGAGTACAACTCGAGAATCTGTTGGGTGGAAAGCCTACGATTCACAATGAAGTACAGCCAGTGTCTTGTGTACCTTGCTAGCAATCGGTGGACGTTGAGTGTTAGAGGGTGGTACTCGCGAGACAGTAAACGACCATTCGGACAAGCTTTGAAGAGGTCGTTGCATAACTTTTAGCAGGCCGTCTTTATTATTTGAAGGTATGCAGTGCAGGATCGAAGCATCGCCGCGCCCGGCATCTCGAAGCATCTCAAAAATGTAACTATCATGGGACATCCACCGTCGCTAGTAATTTACAAATTTACATTACTTACGAGGCAATCATCACCGTCTTTTTCGGACCCAAAACACCGCGTACAAAATCGTGCTTCTTTTTGGCACTTTTTTTCGTTCAGTTTTTGCGAACAATTAGCACATCGCATTGATTTGAGCCGATTTGAACCAGAATGGCGTCCCACGCAGCGCCGACGCCAGGAGCTTCGCCGGCCACAGCTGGAATTGCTGCTGACATCGGGGACGTGTATCACTGTGATGTTGGCGTTACCAGCATTCTCACGTTGCGGTAGCACTGTCTGCAGCATCTCTGGAAACATAAAAGTAAGCGATTGTTGAAATTTTCTGACTTAAACAATATGCGCTCTTGCAGCTTTTGCGCTCTGTTTGCTTGAATTTGGCGTTTTTAAATGTTTTCGTTTTAAATTAAGTGTTTCTGGTTCCATCTGTTTGTTGCATTATGCAACACTGAACACTTGAGGATCAATTCTGCCGTCTTTTTGATTGAATTTTGAGCCTTTTTAGCTGAACTTCACACTCATTTTTTGACAAAATTTTGTGTTTTTTTGAGTTAATTTTGTCTCTCGCTGAATGTGGTCTAAACTTCTCTTGTTCTGCATGCGTGATTGGTGTCCCGCGTTGTTTGTCTCCATATATAATTTTAACAAATAATGCCGAGAGAGTAGCTGAATGTAACCTACTGCATAAGTCGTAATTGGTAGGTGCAGCGAATGCGACGGAGGTGTTGAATTCGGTACGACATGTGGGGCAGTTCACTGAATCCAACAGGTAGTACTGCAATACAGATTCATATCATTACGGTATTTTCTTTATGGATTACTTTCTGCTTTACATTTCTTACTTTTAAAAATTTCTGATTTTTTCGGTATCGTGTAATGACCTGTTGAGCCTACGTATCCGGTATTTATTTGTAGTATCAAACAGTTAGCTCACATTAGCCAGCGGAAAGCGAGCTCTAGGATTCGTTGATCCATTTCAATGGCTGAGTTGAACTGCCTTCAGTTTACTAGCAAATTTTGTAGGAGGGAATCAGCGGCACTCTAAACAGCGGGTGGTAGCTGTTAGCAAATTGCTACACCTGCGAGTACATCTGTTTTGCAGAAACACCATAGGGAATTTGTGTTGGCTCTAATATTTGCAAAATTTACTAAGTTAACCTGCATCAGATATTGCTTCGTTGGTTAACAGATTAACTTTTATGATACGAAACTTCATTTGTGCAGGCGCATTTACCACATTGGTCTTTTAATTCTAACGGTGGAACGCCGACGGTAATAGGGGTAGCCGAAATTTCCCATAATTAGTTCTTTCGAAGTGTTCGTTTGGATGAACACTGGTTGGTTTTTTTCTCGATTATGAGTATAAAAAAACAATAAAACAATTCTTTCAAAACAATATATGTGCGTTCGGTTCTGATTGCAGACGAATATTGAAGTGCCTAGCAGGCAAGTCATCAGGACTTTCTTAGCTTCTTAGCTTGCTTCTCAAGCAACTCTTGCAGGAGAAATATTGGTATTAAAGATAAAAGAACTAGATAAGTAATATCTGAAACCCCAACAGATTTACAATAAGTTGTTGGCAAAGTGCATCTTGTTGCCCGAGAGGCTTTCTACTTTCATTTTGTTTTTAAATAAGTATGAAGGAATTCCAAGAAATTGCACTCTAACTACCGAATAGAAAAAAAATCATTGAATTTATTTAAATTGGATTATTATTTTGTAAATTTGGCATTCCCTTTTATTGTTTCGTAAAAATTTGACGAATTTAATTATTATTTCTCTTGTAATTTATAAATTATCCTTCTCAAAGAAATATAAAAACACTAGTCTTTCTTCCTCTTTTTCTCCGTCTTGTCACATCGTTGAACAGAAATATCAACCTGTTGATGACAGCAGAGCGAAAAAATGCAACGTTCACAGAAATTGTGTCCACAAGGAAGTAGTTTTGGTGGGCGTTTTGTAGGGTGAAATGGCTCGAAGCAGACTTCACATCCGATCAGATCGTAATCACCATCCGTCATCAGAGATGATGATGATGATAATGATAGTGATTCGTGCTTGTCGGTTTTCAGTGAAATGAGTGTTGCAGCTGCTTCTGCCGTTCCGCTGATACTTGACGCACCGCCTTCGTTCATGACATTCTGAAACACACTTCAAAGATATTAATAACTGACCTACTGATCGCGAAAATGTCGCGCATTTCTCATGTATGGAACGTAGCAAGCAAAACATGCTGAGGTATCCAGTACTTGAACCTAAGCTAAACCAATCTGTGTTATTCCCACGAGTGCAGTACAG